AAGTATTAGTAGATAAAAGACTGATGGGTAAACTTCAGGATGTAATGTTTATGGAGGGCCCACGGATTTATCAGATCATTTTTAGCTGTAGTTAGAGTGAGAGTAAAGGGTAGATGGGGTACAAGGAGAATTGTGTCAGAAAGAGAGAGAGAGAGGTGAATGAAAGTTAATAAACTAAAGGAGGAGGCAGTTAGGGTAAGATATAAGCAACTATTGGTAGATAGACGGGCTAGTGAAAGTATAGACAATGAGGATGAAGAGGTATGGGGTGGATTTAAGAATGCAGTGTTAGAGTATTCAGCAGAAGTTCGCGGATATAGGAGGGTGGGTGTGAGAGGGAAAAGGAACGAGTGATGGAATGATGGGATAAAGAGAGTAAGTAGTAAGAAAGAAGAAGTTGGCATATGAGAGGCTTTTGCAAAGTAGACATGATATAAGGAGGGAGGAGTAAATGAAGAGAATAAGAACGGTCAGAGTGGTGAAGGAATTTAAAGAGGGTTAGAAGCTGTCAACAAATTTTGTTGAAAATAGGAAAAATTTTGGATTGAGATAAATAAATTATTAAGAAAGCCTAGGGAACGAATGGACTTGACAGTCAACAATAAAAGCGAGTTATTAAACTGGGGAATTGGAAGTATTGGAAAGATGGAGGGACTGTTTTGAGGAACTGTTAAATGTTAATAAATATGAGGTAACTGTGATTTCGTGTATTGGCCAGTGAGGAATAACATCTTTTAGGAGTGATGAAGACCCAGTTGTGAGTTTGGGGGAGGTGTGTGATGCTGCGGGTAAAATGAAAGGGGGATAAAGCAGCTGGAATTGATTGGATCAAGAGAGAAATGTTGAAAAGCAGATACGGATGTAGTTTTGGAATGGTTATTGATTTTGTTAAATAAATGAATGAAAGGGACAAGGTATATAGGGATTGATTGGCATAGGACATGCATAGTTTCTTCGTACAAAGGAAAAAGGACAAAAGGGAGAGTGTAAGAATTATAAAGGGAATAAGCCTATTGAGTATACCTGGTAAGGTAAGAAGCAGTAAGACGGAGAGCAGGATCGCAGATGAACAAGGAGGCTCTAGGAAGGGTAGAGAATATGTAGACCAAGTGTTTACAGTGAAGCAGAAAGTGAACAGTATTTAGAAAAAGGTAAAGCAGTTTTTGTTTCATTTATGGATTTGGAAAAGGCATATAATAGGGTGGATAGGAAGGAATATGGCAGATGTTGCAAGTGTATGGAATTGGTGGTAGGTTACTGAAAGCAGTTAAAAGTTGTTATGAAGATAGTGAGGCTCAGTGTAGGGTATGCAGGAGAGAGGGAGATTATTACCCATCAAAAGTCAGCCTTAGACAGGGATGCGAGATGTCACCATGATTGTTCAATATATTTACGCATGAGGTTTTAGATGTAAGTACTCGAGTGTTGGGAAGATGTGTGCGATTAAACGATAAAGAATCTAACACGTAGTGAGAGTTGTCACAGTTGGTTTCTGCTGATGACTGTGCTTTTGGGAGATTCGGAAGAGAAGTTGGGAGGGTATGCAAAAAAAGGAAGTTAAAAGATAATATAGGAAAGAGTACGGTGATGAAAAAAAATTAGTAATGAAAGATTGGATATTTGGCGGGAGGGGGAGAGTATGGAGGAAGTGAATGTGTTCAGATATTTGGGAACCGAGATGTCAAGAGATGAGTCTGTGAAAGACGAAGTGAACCATAGAATTGACGAGTGGAAGAAGCTGAGGAGTCTGTGCAGAAGGTTATCCATGGAAGCAAAGAGGAGAATGTGTGAGAGTATAGTGGTGCCAATTCTTTTATATGGGTGTGAAGCATGGGTGGTGAATGTCACAACAAGGAAAATGCTGGAGGCAGTGGAGATGTCATGTCTGAGGGCCATGTGTGGTGTGAATGTTATGCATAGAATCCGGAGCTCGGAGATTAAAAAGGAGGAGCGGGGTTGTTGAGGTAGTTCGGAAATTTTGAGAGGATTGAACGAAACAGAACGACTTAGAGGGCATATAAAACTGTAGTAAAAGGAAGGCAGGGTAGGGGTCGTTCTCAGAAAGGTTGGAGGGAGGGGTAAACACAATAGGGGTAAACTCAACGCTTACCCAAGCGTGAGTGAGTGTATTAAATAGGAGCGAGTGGAAACAAATGAGTTTTATGAATTGGAATGCTGTTGGAGTGGGAATAAAGTAATATTTATAAAGAGATTCAGAGAAACCGGTTAGCCGGACTTGAGTCTTGGAGGAGGGAAGTACGGTGCTTGCACTCTGAAGGAAGTGTGGAGGTGGAAAGTACAGTACCTGCACTCTGAAGGAGGGGTGGGGGTGGGAAATACAGTGCCTGCACTCTGACGGAGGGGTGGAGGTGGGAAGTACAATACCTGCACTCTGAAGAAGGGGTGGAGGTGGGAAGTACAGTACTTGCACTCTGAAGGAGGGGTGGAGGTGGGAAGTACAGTGCCTGCACTCTGAAGGAGGGGTGGAGGTGGGAAGTAC